GTGTCACTGGCCCTCATATGTGGGATCCGAACCGGGGCCCTCTGGCATCCCAAGCGAGTTCTTAACCATCGCGCCACTCGGCCGGCCCCTGAAATATTTCTATTAAAAACATTTACTTACACAAATATATGCTAGGGAAGGTTAAGCATCTCTTCTTTTTTTTTTTAAAGATTTTATTGTGGAATTGGGGGAGGGGAACAGACAAGATGCTGTCCTTTTGTTCTTCAGTCTAGCTGTGGAGGACGTCACTTCACTGGCTCTTGTTGGTATTATCATTGCGCTCTTCCCAGGTGAGGCAGATCGGTTGCTGGCCATTGGATGGCTGCTCACAGCTGCTCTTGGCAGGCAGCTCACGCTGGCTGCCGGCTGTTCACGCCAGCTGCCAGCCATTCACGGTAGCTTATGGCAGCCCACCGCAGCTCCACTGCAGCCTATGCCTGTCGCCGGCGACTCCCGGCAGCCCAGCTCCAGGTCAAGCTGTTGTTCACCATCTTAGCTGTAGAGGGCGCAGCGTCACTGGCCCTAATGTGGGATCTGAATCGTGGCCCTGTTGAAGAGAGCTGACATCCCAAACCAACTCTTAACCAACGCGCCACTCAGCCGGCCTGAGAGTCTGAAGTTTTTAATAGGTCCAGGTTGAGACTTTAGATGAGAAGAGGGCTAAGAAGAATTTGACTGAGGTGGCTGAGGCTTAAGACAATTACTATTTAAGTGCAGGGCTGGTCCTTTTCCACATCCTGAGTCTTTATAAGATCTGCAGGCATCTTGAGATGGATAGGGGAGGCTTTGGGATTGGTAAGAAGGATGGGCTTGGAGATCCTTCTAGAGCCACATTATATTTTTGTAAAGACACCATTAATCAAGGCAAGGTAAGGACAGGTATTTTTAATTCTTCAAAGAATTAGATGGCAGCCTCAATAATAACATCAAGGAGCTGGCCTGCCATTCTGTGACATTATTTTGAATTTACTTCTTTATATCAGAGACTTTTTCAACTAAGGTAGAAAATGAAAGAGTCCTGTGTTCTGAGATTTGTGGATTTAGAGCTGTGTGCCTTTGCACTATTTTTTAAATTGTTTGACAGTCTGTATTCCTTTTCTCCAAGCACAGTGTGGGGGCTAAAAAATTAATACGTTTCCTACCACCTATGTTAAGTTCTTCTAGCTGGGCTAATAATTAAATTAACAGAGACAGATTAACAGGAGAAAATAAAACTTTTTAATACATGCCCATGGGGAGCTCACATAACCATGAAAATTTCAAAGACAGTGAGGCAACACGGGGTATATATGACATTTTGGACAATGGAGAAAAGGAGGAAAATGAGGTCATAGATTTCAGAAGTGAGAACAGGTGATTTACAGGTGACTGAGGAAGAGCAGCACATACAAGGCAGTCTGGTTCTTGCTAGGCAACTCAGAAACACCGGGACTCAGGGGCTATCTAGCTAACAGGCCTCTGCCTGAAACCTGCTATTTACCACTTAATTCAAATTAGGCTAAGGCAACATCCTAAGATTTCCTTCCTGAAGCAGGTTTCTCTGTCTGAATCTCTTGGGAAGGAAAGGGGTGGAGGGTCAAAGGTCCTTTGCGGGTCTTTTGTTCCTTAATAAACAGCTTAAAATCAATATTCCGAAAGACAGCTTCAGGGTGGCAAAACTTTGGTTCCCTTCAACGCCATTCCATGTTAGCCCATAGAACTTCCAGAGGGAAGGCTTCTATAAAAGCTCCTATCCAGCTCGGAATATCAGCCTCCATCCGGGTCTTTCTCAGGAGGGAGGTTGTGGAGGGGAGTTTATGGTGGGTGTGGATTTTAATTTCTGTTCTAAATCTGCTTTCTGTTCTAAAATTTTGTTAAGGGAGTATTTCAGACTAGCTGTGATCCTTTTTGTGTGTGTCTCTGTCAATTTGATCTTCCCATATTGGTAACAGGACACTTGTTTAGGTTGAGAATGCTCTGAAAATTCTTTTTAAATATAAAAAAAACTTTTCTAAATAAAAGGTTCCATCGTCTGGCCATTAACAATTTAGGATCTCCACAGGGAAACCTGTTCCAAAACGTGACTCCAAATCAATAGGCCTGTACGTGGCTTAACCATAAGTTACACAGCCAGAGGAACCTCAGCTATGGTACCTTCCATGATCTCGTCATTATCAGTGTTAGTTCTTTTGAGTCTATGTAACTAAAACCAATTCTAGAAATAGAGTCACTGCTTGAAAATATCTAATCAGTCATCTTAAGATTTTGGCCAATATGATACCAAATAGGTATCTGAGCTTTAAATAGAGTTGATTTGATTGTTTTGAACAATCTGGAGTTCTAGATATACTAATTAGACATTTAAAATTAGATTCCTTTGAAATAAGGTCATATCCCAGAATTCTTGTGTTACATGGTAATGATTCAGGACCAGTCAATCCATTGTTACTTTGATATGTATAATAAGGATATAGGATATTTATCTAAATTCAGAATTAGAAACAGAAACTAAATTTATGATTTTAATTTTTTTTTTGCACTGGAAAATTAATATAGTATTTTAATTAATAAAAAATACCAGTATTTTTTATTCATGGATTCAATTAGACTTTCCTATTTTTCTTAGGAAAAACATTGTGGCAGCATATGCAGCATAGGGAAAAAGGGCACTCTGTGCCACTTAATTTTCCATAATGAACAGTGGGGATTGGGAGCGGGTGTCCCTGAATTGTGCCACCCAGGCATGCAGATTATTTCAGACTGAAATCAATGAAAGCCCAACAAACTCAGGAAGAGGTTTTTACTTCCCCTTTTTCTTCAAGAATTTCCGGTAGAAAAACTTGCTTTAGGAAGGGAGTCTTGGCATAATCACCTTAAGAATTTACATCCTAGCCTTAGTCAGGAAGACTGGGAGCATGCTGGCCTAGATATCCTCACTCCCTGCTGTCTCATTGTGTCTGGGCTGCCTAGCAAGACTTGGCGTGCAGTCTATTTTCTGCACTTCCTCAACTACCAGTAAAGTGTCCATTCTTGCTTCTGAAATCTATAATGATACCCCTTCTTACCTTTTCTCCATTGCCTAAAATGTCATATATATCCAATGTTGCTTCACTGTCTTTGGAATTTTCATGCTTGTGTGAATTCCCCGTATGCATGTATTAAAATTTTGTTTTTCTCCTGTTCACCTGGTATATGTTGTTTGAATTCTTTGGCCAGTCAGAGAACTAAAGGGGTAAGGGGACTCTTCTCCCTGTCCCTGACAAAGACAAAGTGTATAGTAGTAGAAATCTGTGTTCCTCTGAAGTGCAGGTATAATTCCATGTACTTATAATGGGTTTGTCAAACTCGAAATAAGAATGCTCCAGTAGAATGCTCATCCTGTTAGCAATATATCTTTGGAATTTTAATTCAAGTGTGATTTGGAAAGTTTGCAGTAGAATAGTTCAAATTCAGTCTGTGATTGACATTTGGACCTATCTGTAACAGTGGTTTCTTTTTTTCTAACTGATGGATTGTAAATTCTTACAAGATCTCCCTCTGAAGATCCTTGGCCCAGGATTCTGATGTAATGGATTGTGATCTTTCTCTGTACCCATTTCCTTTAGGAGATCCTTGAGTATAATTCTAAAAAGTGCATTTTCTTCTTTTCCCCTGCGGCTGTGGAACCGTCATCAGGTTGGTGGATACTGGGATAAATCCTGTAGCACAGTGACTCAGCTGAAGGAAGGTCTCAACCGAATCCTCTGCCTGATCCCCTACAATGTAATCAATCAGTCCGTGTGGGAGTGTATTATGCCGGAATGGCTGGAAGCCATCAGAACAGAAGTCCCAGATAACCAGTTAAAAGAATTCAGGGAAGTATTAAGGTGGGTAAGTAGTTTAATGAAGTCACTGTAATCAGAATGATATTTAACATTTATTGAGCACTTACTGTGTGCCAGGTGCTGTGCTAAATATGTAATGTAATCTCATTTACTTTTTAACATCTCTATAGAGAAGTTTCAAGGCCCCAAATGAAATCATTGCTATAAATCATGCTAAGATAGTTTGGAATTGTTCAGAAAAGATTTTGTTCTTGTGGAATCATAAATAGATACACCAGATTGTTTGCTTATTTTCAAACGTAGTTATGATTTGGGTAAAGTGAGAAAAGTACAAAGGGAAAGTGTTTTTAGATGCTGGGAAGCAACTCTCATTCCTTAGAAATGCAATTCCTTCTGTGAAGCCTAATGTATGAACATTAACAGTATTAGCCATATGAATTATTTATAAGATATCTGTTCCAATGACATAAGCTATTATAGTAAAATGAAACATCCTAATATAATAGTTCAGACACAGACTAATCTGAAGTGTTTGGCTCCCCAAGCAACATATAGTTAGACATGCAACTGTAGACCCTAGGACATGCCCATTGGTCATTTACTTTTGTTGCTCTGCTTTCCAGCAAAATGTTTGACATTGAGCTCTGCCCTCTGCCTTTTTCAATGGAAGAGATGTTTGGCTTTATTAGCTGTCGGTTCACAGGATACCCTTCCTCTGTGCAGGAACAAGCTTTACTGTGGCTTCATGTAAGTGAATGATACTTTTGATCGTTTTGGGGAATAGTTCTTAGCCTGTGAACTTTAGATTCCCAGGTGAGCGGGGAGGGGGAAGTTATTGCGGAGTCCATAAATCTGTATGTTTGCTGAGTGAGGACTAGCTGTAGACCAATAACTCGTATGAATAGATAACTACATTACAAATCTATGGAGCTATCATTGTGAATTATTAATAAAAGACAAATGTATGCAGTACAATTACTTGAACACATCCTAGCTTTTGGTCCTTATGTATCTTTCCATCAATAGTTAGTAAAAGTATAATAGCTGTCTTTTGGGATTCTGATAAATCTTTTGATATTAAATAGGTCTTTTCCTTGGAAAGGTTGAGAGCTACTGGTTTAGGGAGTAGTTCCTGCTGTTCACTCAGCCTGGAATGACTTTCTTTCCTGCCTCCATTAAAATCCAACTCAAAAATTATTTCATCTATGAAATTTTCTGCTACTTCATACCCTCATCTCCCCATCAGAATTCATTATTCCTTCCCCCAGTATTCATACAGGTTCTTGTGCAAATTCTATTTTTGTCTAATATTATAGTTTATTTTTGTCCCTTCTTCTGATTAGAAATGCCTTCCGGGCAGGGACCAAATCTTTCATTTTTTAATTTATAACCCCTTCATCCTTTCTTCTCAGCATCTGACACATGTTTTGAATTTAGTGGATGTTCTTAAAAGTGTATTAAATTGAGTTCAATACCTGATATAAAGTTTGGGCAGTTTCAAAGGAGGACAGGATCAATGTTTAGATTAGCTTTGGGTGCAGATACTGTATTTTGCTGTGTATAATGCGCATCCATGTTTTTTTGGGGTTGTTTTTTTTTTTTTTTTTTAGCTGAGCCATCCTGCCACCTGTTGGCAGCTCAGCGGCAGCTCTGCTCGGGCCGGACTCGAACTGCTGTTGCTCAGAGCTCAAACTCTTGAGCGAGCTCTTAACCAACTGAGCCACTCAGCCGGCCTGCGCATCCGTGTTTTTGGCCAAAGCTTTCAGGGAAAACAATTTTTTGTTTTGATTTTTTTAATTCAAATTTTTATTTGTTTACATGTAGGCACTTGTTTTTTGTATTATAAAGGAATTTTAGCATTTTTTAAAACATATTATATGGTATAAGAAATTCTACATAACAGTAATTACAAAACACAAGAATGGATACAACGTAAAAGAAATTTATGATATTTATGCATCGTAGAAGGCCAAGGATTCTTTGTTGTTGCAAGTTCTTCCTACTGATGATCGTATTCCAGGGTATTATTTTGCATACGGATATCGTTATTGATTTTTAGAGTTACACTTTTAACTGATAAGCATAAATAAAAGAATTAAAAACATTTATATAGATGTGGAATTAGGACTACCTATGTATAATGTGCATCGTTATTTTTCCCTCACAAATTTGGTCCAAAAAGTGTGCATTATACATGGCAAAAATATGGTACATCTCTGTTTTATGGAAGAATATCACCCCAAAAGCTTTTTAAGTTGTGAAGATGCCTTTCTGGGTTCTAAACTAAGGAACAATATTTTTCACAACTGATGTAGAGTAAAGGGACTGTTTTTCTAAAAGTCACCTTTGGGACCTAAATTTTAACTTTTCACGCCCAGGTAGATAGATCTCGACAAGATAAATTTTCATTTTAGGAAAGCCAATTCTTCTACAGATGGCTCAGTGTTACTCAGTTATACACCCTTTGAGCTATGCCACCTGGGGTTGAGCAGACAGGGCTGTAAACCTCTTGTCCCTGCTATGGTTAAAACAATGACAGTTTACATGTTTTATGGACTGGGTTTTGACACAGTTTTGAAGACAGGGTGCTGCACTTGAAGGAGTTTTTTTTTTTTTTTTTTTGAAGGGGTTTTTAAGCCACTGGTCTAACCATTTGGGAAACAGAGTGAACAATGTAGTGATTGGAGTAGATTCATTCATTCATTAATGGTGGAAACATTTATAGAGTTCCCCTGTGCCAGCCACTGTAGTGGGCACTGGGATACAAAGGGGCTAAGAAATGGTCTTTTCCTCATACTTCCTCTCTTCAAAGAACTCACAGTGGGAGAGAGAGTATCAAATAATCAAATATAATGCAAAGTGATGATTGCTCTAATGAAGGTATGTATAAAGTTCTAAGAAAACAGAGAAGAAGGGTGGATTAATTCTGTCTCAAAGAAGGACACATCTATTTCCAGAAATTCATTATAGATAAGGTAGCTTCATTTTGGCAGAGGATACCCGAGCTTGTACCCGAGAGCAAGATGGGATGGGCATTCAGTTGGGGATGGAGTGGAGGGAGCGTCCTCACAGATGACACTAGTCCAGGAGAAAGGTGATGAACTGAGGCTCCAGCAGTGGTATGAAAAGGAGTGGGGAGCACCAAAAGGTACTTTGAAGTTCTAATAGAACATGGGGATTTATTGGCTGTGGGGAGTCGGGGAAAAGGGAAAATTTCAACGATAATATTGGTTTTTCTAGTAGAAACAATTGGGGATGACTGCTGATAGAGTCTGTGGAAGGCTAAATGTCCTTCTGTTCAGTAGTTCTCTTTGGAAAAAAAATGCTAAACGTAGTTTTGTTTTGTTTTTGAGTTTTAAAGTTTATGTTTTTGGGGGATATATTGCCTTTTTTTCTCAGGTATTATCGGAGTTAGACATCATGGTGCCACTTCAACTATTGATAAGTATGTTTTCTGATGGAGTTAATTCTGTCAAAGAACTGGCCAATCAAAGAAAATCAAGAGTCAATGAATTGGCAGGGAACCTTGCAGCTCGAAGGGTAATTATTGCCACAACTGTTTTTGTCTTCCTTATTAAGATTTTGTCAATTATATTGAGCCTAAAAGTAGAATCCTAGTAAACTTCTCTGAAAATGCTCTTTTCATCTCATCTCACTCTGGAACCTTTTCATAAGCACATTAAACAATAGAAATCATTCATCTAAGATGTTTGGTATAGTCTGTAATTAATAAGTTACTGAGTTTTCATTTTCCTTTGAGTTTTTCTCCTACATATATCTATTAGCTATCTCTCACCCTGAAGACAGCAAAAAAAATAAAAACAAAAAACAACTTTTTGGGTACTATTTCTTTTTCCTTTTCTTTTTTGGTGGGATGGGCAGGGGGAGGTCTCCTGGCAAATAATTCTTTACCAGCTACTGGGAGGAACACTGCTTCACTTTGAGGATGAGGAGTATGGATTTTTTTTTTCTATTGTGTTTTGGGAAGATCTGATCAACTGGTGACTATGAGTAACGTTGTCTGTCACTGTGAACCAACTGAGCCCATTTTATTGCCCCCTTTGTACCTTTGTGGATGAGAAAAGTCTATATAGTCTGGTACAAAGTGTATGAAAACTGTTGGAAATTCTTGATAATTGTTCTCTGGCGGACCTGATGGAGTTTCTGTTTATCTACTGACAATCCCATACCATGAGAGGTTGGAGAGGCTGACTGTCGTTTGATGGTCAGTGAGGACTATTCTCCACTCTTTCCTTGTTTAGCTTTTCCATTCCGCTCCCCGCCCCCCCCCCCACTGTATACCACAGGCCCCCAGTCCTTCTACCTGTTATCTAGGGATTAGAAAATGTAACAGAATCATGGAATCATAGTTTATATTCTGTGCTTTAACAAAAAAATCTGCCTCATCGGAACGAGCTGCCAACCATTTATATTTTATCTCTTCTATAACCTTTAATATTATATTACTTGGTTAGCACTTTATACTGTGCAATGTATTCACCATTGACATCACCAAATTGTGTGAAGCAGCTGGGGAAGAGCACATTATCCTCATTGCACAGCTACTGAACCCGAGGTTCAGTGAACGGAAGTGGTTTGCCGTAGGTAACACTATCAATATCCAGGTATTCTGATTCTTAATGGGGTATTCTTCTTTATTTTAAATATGGTGTTCACAGACCTTGCTGGTTATTAAAGCGATCTTTAAGAGAGAAAATATGATTTGAGAGTGACATACAGGTATGTCAATCAGGGTCCTGCCTCAGAATTTTTCCCAGATGGTTCAAATGAAGAGAGCTTTGATGGAGTTATGGGAAAGGTTAAGGGAGTACAAGGGTTGGTGAGGCTCCCAGAGGCCAGAAACTGTTCACTGGAAAGCCATTATACCCCTAGGGCTTAGGAAACAAGGGGGAGAGTTCTTCGGAGCCTACCAGGAGCTGAAATTATAAGGAAGGGCTGGCTAGAGGAGCTGCAGTGTGATGGAGAGACTGCAGCATCAAAACAGGAAGCGGGTGGGGAGAAATAGTCCTGCCTCTGTGTCCTCCAACTTCACCTCTTCTGCTCGTGCCTCCCATTGACTGAACACAACTGGAAGCCAGCCAGCAAGGGAGCCAGGAGAGACTCGGTCCTTGGCGTCCTCGGGCAAGGCAGGGCAGGGCAGGGCAGTGAGGGCCTGGGTGGGGTGGGCAGAGGGTTGGGTTGGCAAATGGAGAATAACCAGTACAACAAGTTGGACATATATTGTTTTCCCATGATAGATTAATAATTATAATACCCAGAGCTCATTTTTATTTAACCAGTTATGTCAGTCTGACATTCTGTGCTTATGATTCTAAAACCAATCTTGCAATGTTTTACTTTCATAAGTTCTCATTTTCCAGGTTATGGTTTTAAGTAGATGCAGACAATTTAGTTTAATTGGAAATGTTTGATGGGATGAAAAATAAAATGACAAAGACAGCTGCCTTCATTCTTCAGGGTGCTCATGTTTTACTCACCTGACAACTAGTCAGGAAGTTTGGATAATTTTGTGTCTGATTTTTATATTTTGAGAAGACCCATAGTATTGGGAGGTACTAATGCTATTGGCCAAGAAAGGAAATCTGTGTGACAGCTAGAAACATCTTCCCCAGAGTCCCCAGATATTTTATGCAGCCATTTGAGCCTCTGCAAGTTCACTTATGTGTGTTGATGTTCTTTCTTCTAGGTGAGTGTTGCCTCTGATCCCGGTCGACGAGCTCAGCACAATATGCTCAGTCCATTTCATAGTCCTTTTCAGAGTCCATTTCGGAGTCCTATACGTAGTCCATTTCGTAGCCCTTTCAAGAATTTTGGACACCCTGGAGGAAGGACTATTGACTTTGACTGTGAAGACGATGAAATGAATCTAAATTGTTTCATCCTTATGTTTGATCTTCTCCTGAAGCAGGTAGCTGAAGCATGAGCTTCCTTTAGATCAGAGGTCAAGGACAGGGAAAGCATTGCATAATGGTTTTTTCTTCCTGTGTTGGGCATCTACACCCCTATTGAAATGATGTAGCATCACTCAAGACATTTTGCAAACTCCTTTGGGGATTTCCTAAAGAGCCTGCAAAATACTTACAGGAATATCTGCAATAATGTTGACATATGAGAACTGATAGGAATTTTAGACACCTCTCAGCATCATTAGGTTTGAGTCTGTTGAACAAATTTGGTGAACAAACCGAGTAATGCTATTGTTGGGAAGAACAAGGTACAACTCTGTAGTGATTTTAATGTATTTAATAAATTGATATTTGAAGGTAATTTAAAAAGAAGCTTAAAAGGCTTTGGTCAGAAGAGCATTTCTTCTTAACTTTTTATTTTGAAATAACTTCAGACTTGCAGAAAAGTTGCAAGAATAGTACAAAACTTTCCCAAATACTTCTCCCCCAAATTCTTCAGATGTTAACCATTATCACATTCTCTCTCTCTCTCTCTCTCTCTCTCTCTCTCTCTCTCTCTCTCGCTCTCGCTCTCGCTCTTGCTCTCGCTCTCTCTGTATGTATGAATTGTAGATTTTCTTTTTTTTTAAGCTAAGCTATCCTGCCACCTGTTGGCAGCTCAGCTCGGGCCAGGCATCGAGCCACTGTTGCTCAGAGCTCACACTCTTGAGTGAGCTCTTAACCAACTGAGCCATTTGGCTGGCCCTAGAATTTTTTAATGAACCATTTGAGAGTCAGTTGCAAGCATGCTGTCCCTTTATCCTTAAAACTTCAGTGGATTTTCTAAAAAATAAGGACATTCTCTTACATAATCAAGCACCGTTATCAAAATCAGGAAATTAATGTTGTTATACTACTACATCTAACTAACAAATTATTCATTTTTAAAATTGATATAATAATCATCTTTATAGCAAAAGAAAAAAATTGTTTTTTATCGAGGACAAAATCCAACATCATTCATTCCAATTATTTCTCCTGCCTTATTGGTCTTCCTAATCCAGGATAGTTCTTCAGTCTTTATCTTTCATGTTCTTGACATTTTTAAAGAGTATAGTGTTGTTATCTTGTAGAATGTCCCTCAATTTGAGTCACTTATTTCTTTATGAATCGATTTGGGTTAAGTGTTTTTGGCAGTAATACCACAGATGTGATGTTATATCCTTTTCAGTGCATCACATCAGGAGGCACATGACATGATAATGGGCCCTCACTGGTGGTGATAACTTGGTTAAGGTGGCTTCTCTACTGCAAAGTCGCTATTCTCCCCTTTGTAATGAATAAATAACTTTCAAGGAGACACTTTAAGACTGTGAGATTTCCTGTTTCTCATCAGACTTTTATTTACTAGTTTAGCATCCATGCGTGATTCATGCCTGAATCAATTATTACTATGACCAATACCAAATGATAATTTTCTAATTCCATGATTTTTTTTCATTTGTTAGCTGGCATTCTACTGAAGGAACAGTTTCCTCTTCTCCCTCACTTATATATTTATCTCCCTATACCTACATGTACTCATAAATTCTTAATTTATTCAGTGGGCTAAAATCTGTTACTATGATTCTTTGTTTGGATGGTCAGGTTTGTCCCATATTTGGTCAGTAGGAGTCCCTTTAAGCTAGCTCCTTTGTTCTTTTGACATGTGTCCATCATCCTTTGAACACTTCCTTAATTTCTGGCATGACAACATGTTCCAGGCTGATTTTGTATTTTCCTAGCCCTGACTTTGAAATCAGCCATTTCTCTAAGGATCCTGGTTCCTTTTGGTGAATAATGGTACTTGGAAGTCAAGATCTGGGCACTTGGGTGAAGAGCAGCATTTTTTAAATGTGTAAAATCTCACAGTGATAAGTTTAAAAAACAACTCCCTTTAGATGTCATACATTATTTTAAAAATAATTCCCATTAGTTTGTCTTGTGTTTATATTCTTTTTAGAAGAATCCGTGGAAATCAATGTATATTTGACGTCTATAAGCCTTATTATCATTAAATAATTTAATATTTTTGTCAGCTAATGAAAAGTATCCCCAATTAGTGTGCCAGTGGAGTAGTGAACAAAAAGACCAAACTCCTTCTTTTCTTTTTTGGCCTTTTTTTGGTGTCTTTCAGATGGAGTTACAAGATGATGGGATCACGATGGGTTTAGAGCACAGCTTATCAAAGGACATTATTTCCATTATAAACAATGTCTTCCAAGCCCCCTGGGGGGGCTCCCACACCTGCCAGAAGGACGCAAAAGCAATTGAGTGTAACTTATGTCAGTCTAGTATTCTCTGCTATCAGCTTGCTTGTGAACTCCTGGAGAGACTGGCTCCGAAAGAAGAAAGCCGGCTGGTGGTAAGCAGTTGAAGAAATGAGATAGCCCCTGTCTAATGGTAGTCAAGTCTGCAGTGGCTGGGGTAATGGAGTCTTTCTCCAGTATTATCTTATGCTCCACGCTGGGCTATACGTGTAAAAAGAAAGTTTTCCTGTTTCTCCTACTAATTCAGGCTCTTGGAAAGGACTATGAGATGGAGCTACATTAAACAGAATTCTTGAGTTAGAATTCTTGAGTCTTGAATTAGGGTGGTAGCATGCCCAGTCATGCAATTTTCATAAATACAAAGCATTACTAATATTCTTGAAATAATTCTTATCACAATTATAAAGTTTAGATAACAGTGAATATGACAAAATATACATATCAAATACTGAATGAGTAGATTGGATATGGACACTGAGAATTCCTAGGTAACATCCGTTTGTAAAACTCATTGACTTCATCAACAGCCAATAAAAATCTTCCTTTTGTTTTCTGCTTTCTAAGAAAATTGTTTAAATAAAGAATAGCCAACATATGACATATATCAGGGGTGCAAAAAAAATGTATACAAGTGGACACGTTGGTCAGCGTTGCTCAAGCAGTAGTTTGCCATAATCAGAAGTGTCTGGGCGCTGATGGGAACCACTTTGAGCACCTCTTGTAATTGCAGAAGTCAAACGTGACTTGTATTCATCTTTTGTTATCGGTATATATTGAGTATAACAATTTTAACAGTTTTTCCTTGCTTAAAACGTGTATACATTTTTTTGGCACCCTCTGTATTAACTGCTCCATACAATAGTTATCCCCATTTAGCTTACTTTCCACCTAAGTCACGTGCATCACCAAAATACCTTCATACTGTCATAGGTATGATGTATATGTACCTGAATGATTTGAGCCGTTGTTTGTCATCTTCTTTTTTTCTTCCTTTCCCCTAATGTTTGTCTAGGTAGAAAATGACAAAATTGTTTCTTGAGGCACAGCATACATGCTGTAAAGTGTTGCTTTAGTTTTTAAACACCTTTCAGCCCACTTAACTCATTAGTCCTGCCTGTCACAAAATGATATCCCTGTAGTATGGCCTTTTAATGTTGTCGTTGGGTACTTACTATAAAACAGTCACAGTAATAGATGATGTGAAAACAAATTAAAATCAAGAAGCTTAGAGCCTAATCAGGAAGATGTTTAAGTAAACAAAAAACCATAAGACAGAACGATGAGCATTATATGAGAGAGGTATGAACAAGGTAGCTATGGGAGTACAGGGAAGAGAAACAAATCTGTCTTGGAGGTAACAGGGATCTGGAAGGTCATCCCGGAAAAGATGGTTCCTGAGCTTGTATTTGAAGGAGGACTGCACTTGAAGAAATGAGGGCAGTAGGAGAGCAGGACTTCTGAGACCCAGAAAACGCTCTATTTAAATGGCATAGAGAAAAGGAGGGAATGATACGCCCAGGAAACTGCAAGTTTTGCCAGAGCAGTGAGGAGGATAGAAAAGGAGTGAAAGCTGAGTGGAGAAAAACACTCAGTTTTATATTCTCGTTGATTAAGGGCTCTGTCTGCCAAACTTAAGTTTGGATTTTGTCTTGGCAACAGTTGGGGAATCCTGAAGAATCTTAATCAGGGTGGTGATCCAATCCGATGAATTTGAGAAATTCATCGTGTGACTGGAAGAGAAATTGGTGGATTTGGACACTGGGGACAGGAAATCTAGTCAGATGGTCAGTGTGGTCATTCAGGGAAGCAAATAGGGGAGCCTGCACTAATGCAATGGTGGTGATGAAGAGGGGGGGGGGCAGGCCTGGCAGATTTTTAGGAAAGAGAATCAACAGCACTTGTTTAATTGGTGTCTAGGAATGGAAAAGTGGAGGACAAATCCATGTTTTCTGTCTTTGGAGACAAAAATGTTGCCATTTCTAGAAGATTGTTACTGTAGTAGGAGAAGTGATTTTTTTTTGGGCAGGAGCTGTCACATTCAGACACAGTGGACTGAAATGCCTTTTAGGTATTCATGTGGGGATGTCACGTACCATCCGATATGTGGATCTGGTTCTTAAGAGAAAGATCAGAAGTTGATAAAAGTCTGGAGTCACCAGCATATTGTGGTAGAATGTATAGAATGAGAAAGGAAAAGAGCTGAGGTGAGAATCCTGGGAAGGACCAGTGCTTAAGAGGGAAAACAGCAGAAGTAAAGACCAGAAGTAAATTGAGACGAGGTCAGAGACACAAGAGAAAAACTGAGGGAGGGCAATGCCTCCTAAACCAAGGTAGAAGATAGTTTAGAAAAGGCAGGGCTAGTTGATTATGTCAAGAGAAGAGAGGAAAAATGAAAGAGAGCAGTGTGTCCAGGGGATTCTGAAATTAGGGTTGCCTCATGCCTGTGCGGATGGTAGTGACCGTGGATTATTGTAGTTTGTGGTTTAAGAACAGTATCAGCTGGAGAAGTGGCTACGTGAGGCACAGACTTCTTTTCCAGGAAGGGAATGAGAGAGTGAAGAGGACGGAGGTGGACATCCTGAGCCCCTACGCTGTCCCTAGAGGGCTATCTGTATTGTGTCAGCTTTCACAACACCATCCCATGAAACAAGGAGGAACAAGCATACATGTGGGGAAACGGAGCCATCGAAAGAATGCCTCATGTCCACAATGCTCTTGACATTTGTCATGTGCCTAAAATACCAGATTTGGAGGTGAAGCTAGAGGATTCGGTTTTCCTCTCTCAAAGTTTTAAGGGAGAGACGCCCATCCATCAAGAGGGCTGCTAGAACACGTGGTCTCCACTGCACTCAGCGGCCACTTTATTTCTCCTCCTGGGACAGGTGGAGGACAAGAGGGCAAGGACATGAAGGACGGGCTAGCAGGAGGCTTAGGCTAGTTATCAAGACAGGGGACACCCGCTCTTACCGCCCAGAGGATGATGCCGGAAGTGTGGGTGGCTGGGTGTATGCGGAGGAGTCATGCTGCAGCGGAAACCACCGAATCGAATTTTGTGAAACTCAGTTTATAATTTGATTTAGTGTCTTGTTCATGGTGACCTAGGAGCAGGGCCAGCCTCAGCAAGACCGTGATCCTCCGAGGCCTCCTAACCACCGTTTTAGTACTTGTTTCTTTCTTCCGGTGTCCTTAGATGCCGTCAGGCTTTGTCTCCTTGCTTTGAGCTGGCTGTCAGATAATTCTTGAAACAATGTTTGCTGGTTAAAGGGTTAGTTAAAAGAGGATAATTTTAAAAGAGGGTATTTGAAGGCGGAACTTGAAAGGAAGAAAAAAGCTGGAATAGAATATCTAGAGATAGATATTTTAAATGGTCATATCTACTTCTCTCTCTCTTTCTCTCCCTCTTTCTCTCCCTCCCTCCCTCCCTCTAATCTTTTCTTTTTCACCCACTTTTGCAGCTTGCTTTATATTTATACAAATATAACATATATAAATATATACGTAGCATTAAGTATATTCACATTGTTGTGCCATCCATCTCCAGAACTTGCAAAACTGGAATTCTATACCCATTAAAAAATAACTCCCTGTTCCCGTCTCCCCTTAGTACCTGGAAACCACCATCTTAATCTGTTTCTATGTGTTTGACAACTTTAGATACCTCATATAATACAATATTTGTCCTTTT